GGTGCACTTCAACTCCGGCATCGGATAGTAGTAAGGTTCGGTCCTTAAGAATTCTATGTTTTATTAAACGGTGAAAATAGCTGAGGAGAACAAACGTATGAGATCGAGATGAAAAAAAAAACAGGCCGACTAATTTAGAAGATCTCCACTCTAAGTGGGACTTCCTGAGCGAAAAGAGAGGTCGAGATTGATACTAACGGAACTGACCTCTTCAAAGAGTGGATTTAGCCGCTCCAAGACAGAATCTTCCGCCAACGAAATCTCATCAATCAGAAGAGGAACTCCAGCCTTCATCGCAGAAATCACAACACCATCTGCCCAAGCAAATCTGCAAATTGGACATATGGAAAGTGCACGTCGTAAACAGAAAATTCTTCGACATTTCTTCACAAACATTGATGACTTGTTTCTGTGAAGCACTGAAGTTTGCGTAGAGAAGATGCCACGATAAGCTACGTAAAAAAACCGCTTAAAAAGGAAACGAAAGCCCCACTCCTCGGATCCAAGGCCACATTTTTGTCGAGGTTTTTCGGAGAGTTGTTTCAGCAAGAACCTCGGCTCCCTCGTCCCTTGCCCAGAAATACAGCATCTAAAGCTAGGGGCTGGGCTGCACATGCTACAGTAGCTGGCCCGGAGAGTGAAGGAAGTGCTTGATGCTGACGGAAGTAACGCAGGCGGCAGTCGCCGTTCTTGGCACAAGGTACAGACAGCATCGTTACGAGGATCTCATCAGTAGAGTCGGTAGAGGTCGTATTTGGTTGATAAGGATCTATCCGCACTTGATAGAAACCATCTCACACATTACGATACAGCACCCTGCCTGAGCAGTGGCCTGAACAGATGTCATATTCGTGGAGTCAGTGGGTCTCCTGGAGACGAGTTTTCAACAAATTCTATCGGGAAGAAGAGCAAAAATGGCAACAATATATAGATTGATGAAATCAGGGAGACACACCCGAATGGGAGGGCGTACCCGGGATGGGCGGTGCATGCTATTAAATTCCACGAATCGGTAACGAGGTTGAGAGATCGACGAAAAATTGCTGGAAAAACGAGCAGCCTCTTCAGAGCAGCCCAGGGAGGGAAAATAAGTAGATAAGGATTTGCAAGATGAGATGAGGAAGATAAGCGTGCCGGGCTGGGCGGAGCGTGTCAAAGTGGGCGTGCAAAACCAAAAATTCGGGAACCGGTTGCGTTTACTCAAGTACCGGCGAAAAATGGCAAAGCTGAGGGCGGTTGACGACTGAGATGGAAGTTGTAATCTACAGGGACCCATGCTATTGCTCATTACTGACTTGACAGAGGATCGTGAGCACTTACAAGGGAGGTCTTTCAGGTCGTGGCGCGCTTTTTGGAAATGGTTTGTTGCTTGTTGTAGGGGTCCATACAAGGATCACAAAAATGGGTTTCATTTTTGCTATGCGTTTCTGGGAGGTCAAAAACTGAAAAGAATTTGACAAGAATGGGCGGTTTCAACTATCTTAATGGGCTCCGTTCTTGTAACTTCGAGCATGCATAGTTTATGAGGTGCTCGTTAACTAGGCCTCGAAAATA